TTGTTGATTTGTTATTTTTTATTGTTCTTTTTTCCAAATATTTTCTTTTTTAAATTTTTTTTTCTTTTATTCTGGAAAGAAGGCTTTTTCCAGATTTTCCAAACATTTTCAACATGCAGCTGTTTGAATCCGCAGATGCAGATCCTGCCAATACAGAGGGTTTACTGTACAGCAGAGTGTAGTAGACACTGTTGGTGTCCTGCCAAGGTGCCTTTAACCAGGCTAGTGCGCCCAGACCCCAGCTGCTGTGAGTCCTGGCTGCTACCATCTCACAGCTGTACCCTTCTCCTGAGAATTGCCTTTGGCTGAAAGAAATCTAGCCAGAAAATGCCTACAAGGTTATGATCTTCTCCCTGCTACATAGGTAGACAGCCCGCAGCCAATGACTGATTCAGAGAAACAAAAGCCAGTCCCCTTGCCTCAAAGAGGGGCAGCTCTGTGGTGTCTTTCACATTCCAGGCTGGGGCTAGACTGAATACATGCCTTGGCCACACGTCTTCCTCAGCCTCTATGCTCCCTTTCTTACTCTTGTACATGTTTCAACTGAGAGTAGTGGTTCAGTGAGTCTTTTACACAAAAATCCCCATCTGAGATTCTGCCTCTAGGCAACCTGATCTGAAACAGAGTAAAGGGACACGTAACTCAGCTATTCTTCACAGTAACTCTTAAAAGCATCATTCTTTTCCATTCCCACCCAAACTCATTTGTTCATTTCTCTCTCTCTGCCTCCTGTCATCTGCAAGAGCTTCTTAATTATATTTGATTCTCCTCCATGACATCTGACATTCTATACTCCAATCACAGCTGAATTTTCCTAAAACATCAATTTTATCATTGCCTAAAGAGAAAGCCCTTCGAGCTAGCTTTTGAAGTTTTCCACTAGTCAGTCAGCTAGCCAGCCAGTCTGTCTGTCTGTCTGTCTGTCAGGCAGTCAGCAAATACTTGTTGACTCTGTATGGTACTTAGCAGAGGTAAACAAAACAATAAAAAAAATACTTGTTGAGCACATCCTATGTGACAGATCCTATGCAAGGAATATGAAAACAACACAGTCCCTTTCCTTAAACGTATGTCTAACAGAAGTGTTTACAGATAATCTGATACCATTTAAACTTATGTTCTCATCTTACCCTAGTTTAGAGCATTATTCTACCTAAGTCAATCTGTTAATTACCCCTGTTCATTTTAAACCATCCTTCACCTGTTCAGACTCAAGTCCTTCTCAGGATCCAGCTTAAGATCTTCCCTTGTTGCTCCAGCCCAGAATGACCCGTCGCCTCTCTGAAACATTAGAACACTTGCATCTTGTATTAGCCACCTATACATTTATTCATTCAATAATGTTTGAGAACCCACAACATGCCAGGCACTGTGCTAGATGCTAAGGGAAAAGCATAAATCACCTGTAATTATTATATAAATATTTTATAAGTATATATCCTATTTCTACTTTCATATTTAAACCCTTAGAAGATAGGAATCAAGTCTTGTATTTCTTATTACTCTGCTCCAGGGTATAGATCAGTTCACTACAAGTGGTATAATTATTAGATGTTAGCTCTGCCTTGTATTTAAACAACTCAGTTAATAGCAATATAGTTTTATGTCACTTCATAAACATATCTATTATGTAAAATAAACTTAATTGCCATGTATATGTATCTACCATCTTTATTCCTTACCTCTCTACAATATGAACTTATTAATAAATATGATTGATCTACCACCTTGATGCTCATTGACGACCACAATGGCAGAGAATTTCTTTGGGAAAAGAAGAAAACTTGCAAGGAAAACTTCTTGGCAAATGAAAGTCTAAAAAGAGTGAATTGACTGGAAAGAGCTCAAAGTATATTTGAGGTAAATTCTTACACGTTCCTCAAAACTCATTCCTCCCAGGAAGCCTTTTCCAGTTTGGATACCCTCTTGTCTACTCTTTGTGAAGACCTTTACCATTAAATTTATCCCACTGTACTATAACTGTGCATTTACTTAGCTAAACACACATGTCTACTTGTATGAAATAGATGCTCATATGAATAAATTAATGCACAAATCTGTCCTTTTGTTCCAATAAAATGTATTCCAATAGAATGAATATCTTCATAATTCCATTACCTGAGGACATATAAAGACACCTTGCTCACTTAAAAATATGCAGTCGAGGCCGGGCGCGGTGGCTCACGCCTGTAATCCCAGCTCTCTGGGAGGCCGAGGCGGGTGGATCGTTTGAGCTCAGGAGTTCGAGACCAGCCTGAGCAAGAGCGAGACCCCGTCTCTACTAAAA